ACGGGTGCAGCAGTCTGCATGGGCTTCCCATATTTTTCACATACGTCAGCAAATGCATCAAGAAAGCTCATCAACCTTTCGCTTGGGAGCACCAATTTTTCTCTCCTGTGGCTAAGCAACGTTCATCTTTTTCCAATAAGCGAGAACGGAAGCAGGAAAATGAGGTTTGCCTCAAACGGATGACAGTTCGCTTGAGCTTGGGCATTTTTCGGATCCGCGTCTTGCCTTGGTGAAACGAAACACATACCAGACCACTTCCCGGTGGGCGCTCGGCCGAGCGGGGGTGAGGAGGTCGACACCAGGACCGCTTGAGGCCCAGCCGCATCTTTCGATCCTTGAAACATTTTTCTAGCAAGAAAACCGACAAAATGGAAAGGTCCAAGAGCACATGCGCCCCAAGATAGACTTAGTTCTGTCACACGATGACAGGGTGCACGGATGGATCAGCAATCTGCAGCGTGTGTCATGATATTTCCAGTCTGAAGAACTCATGTCTGTCTTGGATGTCGTGCCTGACTGACCTGTCCGCCCGGATCCGAACCCCAATATCTCCGCTGCAGGCCAGTCATCAACCGTACATGAGAGTTTTGCGCGATTATTTCTTGCCTGTTTCGACCAAATTTAGAAAGAGACTGCAAAGGGAAGCAGAAAATCATGAATCGCACCCGTACTACTGCGTCCAATTGCGGAGGAAGGTCGACCGCACCGGCATTCTCATGCGCATCTAGTCGTCCTCGGACGTTTGTGCTCGAGCCGACGGGACGGACACTACCCGTCACGTAATGGCCTACCTGCGACAGGAGAGCACAGCTATTAGGGAGACAAACTGCCTACTTGCTAATTTAGCTCCAGTACGTATGGCATGCATGGCATGATGGGCACTCGATCCCAGATTTGGTCCGTGTCATTACATGTCATGTTAGATCTTCGCCAAGGCTCTCTCGACCTTCACCGGCTCTTAATAACCCCTCCCCTCGAAGTCGACAAGCTCGAAAGCTTGCTCGAGTCAGCTCCTGAATGGCAGGGACTGCCCTTCAAATATCCTGAGCGTTCAGCCCATATTCCAGTACTAACCATCCCGCTGGAACCCGTCGTTCTCGTTTTGTTTCTGCCAAACGCAACAACACTTCTCTGCTTATTACCAGACCACAGCTCACATTACTACGACGTCGTCTTGACAATAATGGTTTACACAGGGAAGCCCTCTGGAGGGTGCAAGCTGTGTAGGATAAGGAAGGTGAAATGCGACGAGGGGAAGCCGTTTTGCCAAAGATGCATCAAGTCGAAGCGTCACTGTCCCGGCTACGGCGCTGTTGTTCGCGACCAGAGCAAGTCGGCCGAGAAGCTGAAGAAGATGAGGTCCGGGAGTTCCGACAGCAACGATGCTATCGACCCATCAATACCGATCAAGAGCGTTGAAGTAGATGACTGGTACTTGGATACGACGGCCATTACTACAAGGAGAGGTTCCACGCCAAACTTCAGATTGGGCGACAAGCAAGGCGACCTGATGAGTGTATTTGAGAAGGTACCTGGAGGATTGATGGACTCGTTGGATGAACAAGCTTCATGTCTTTTCCTGTCTGAGTTCGTCAATGTGCCCTTAACACCGACGGCACGCGGGTATTACGCCTTCTTACCACGATTCCTCGGCAGCGGGACGGTATCGATATGCCTTTCACAGGCTTTCAAGGCCACATCCATGGCAGCATTAGCTATGAGGCAGTCGAAGGGTATGAGAGGTACAGCACTGCTGCGCGCCCAGGAGCATCACATCAAGGCATTGAGGGCGGTCGGGCAGGCCATCGCGGACCCCAAGGAGATGAGAAGCGACCAGACGTTGGGCGCCGTAATTATGCTGGCATTCTATGAGGTAATCGGGTGTCCTTGTCTCTTATGTAAACATTACTGACTTCTAACCTCAACAGACATTAATGTCACAAGACTCGATGAAAGAGTACATCAGTCATCTCAAGGGCGCCGCGCGGATCGTGCAGATGCGTGGTCAGCAGTGCCTGGAAACAGTCGAAGGGAAAGAACTGTTTGCAATGACGAGGAACCAATGCCTCTCCGTGTCCAACATATTCAAAGAAGCCGAAATGTCCAGTTATTCGTGGCTACTTTACAACGAAGCCATCCAGCAAAGCAACAAGCCCACAGTGGACATCAGCCTTATGGCCAGTCAGATCCAGCAGGCCGTCGACGGCATCATTGCCAAAGCCAGCTCCCCTGGTCCCGAGGCGATCGAGAAAATGATGGAGCTGGTTGCAAAGGCACGAAGATTGGAGGCAGAGTTTCGCAAAATCAACGACAACAACCCGAGTCCTACGTGGAAGGTCGAGACGGCGGAATACGTATTCGATCGAACCGATGAAGAGCTCGATACGGAGCCGACTTTCGAGGGACAGGTGTACAAGTTCTTCAACCTTCCGATGGCTGTGTTGCATCTCGTCACTTGGTGCACTCATCTCAATTTGATCACGACAATGATGCGAGCATCGTCATGGCTCGCCTCGGCTGGGAAGGAAATGTTCGAGGACGATGACGAGTATGATGAGCTAAACCGGGTAGCCACCACCCGTGTTGAGGATATTGTTGGGGCAGTTCCGTACTTCTGCAGTTGGAACGGGTACGGAGTCATTGTGTCACAGTTTCCCTGCGGTACCACCAAGCCTGATGACCCTCTCAAGGGAGAGGCTGGGCTCATCGTCATGTGGCCGGTGGCCATGGCCATGAAGAGCGAATGGGCAACAGCACGACAGAGACGATACCTCAGAGGAAGGCTCCGATACATCGCAGACGTATCCGGTATCAACCAGGCGCGGTTCTTTGTCAACGAAGTATGATCAGTTTTGGTTTCGAGCCGGGCTATAGCATTTGGGTTGGCATCTGGTTTGAATTTCACGGGCGCTAGACGAGATACCACTCAGCAAACGGCGCTGGGGTGACGGCTAATGTGAGCTTACGATCTCGAGTTCGACGGTCACGATTGTTGCATGATTTAATGGACAACTTTGCGGTTAGGATAATTGACAGTATTGACGAGCGCATACTCACCACCCGTGCCCACTCACCCATGAAGACATCGCCGAATCGAAGTTAGTCTCAGCGCAAGCACCACGCAGGAGATTCCAAATGTGACGTCTACATATTTCCGACGTTCGCACTCGCATTGGCCGGGGTTTTCGTACAACATGCAGTTTCTGACAGCTGCATCAAGAAATAAATTTAGCATCTTCACCCAAAAGGACGAAGTCTGCATTCTGCAGTGTCCAGGCTTTTGCCGTCGGCGATAGCACGTCCTGCAATACCTAGTCCCCCTTGGGCTAGCCGGCTTGGTCGATAGTTTCATCCCATCACCTACCGAACCAGCTTGCGTTTCGGCCGTTCATTAGCTGCAGGGCTCCGAGGCTGTCCAACTGTGATCAGATTCTGATTGAAAGGGGTCGGCAGCTCGTGAGTTGTGGCTGTGCAACGATGCTGCTGGCAGCATAACGGCGGCTGGAAGAGGGTAACTTGGTTTTCCGGATGCGATTAACGTGTTTATTTTCTTACCGCAGGCAAATGATGATATTCAACCGGTTTCGAACAGCTATTCGGATGCATATGTAGCATTGCTGCGTTAGAAATTCTGAATTTTACAATGTGCGAAAAATTTACCGGATACGAGCCAATTCCGTTCTCGCTTTCGCGAAGCAGTAGCTTTGGACAGTCAAGCTGCGTTATCGTTCAAAGATGCTTCCAGTGGGCGCCGATAAAAGGCTTATTAAGTGAGCTGCTTCTACAGTACCTTCTGCACTCTTATTCCAGACGAACCAAAGCACACATCACCGTCAGACCACTCTCCCAGCACGGGCCGTTGGAAGGGCGGCACATCGCCGTTCGAGTCCGTCAGCGGGTCTATTCATCCCACAAACTCCGTGCAGCAAGATCTATGTGACCTGGAAAATCGATAAATTCGTCCGTGGTCTCGTCTCCGGCCTTCAGCTATTCAAAGATGACGGGGCCTGGTCGCTAGGGGAGAGGCTCTGAGGAAGTCGCACGATTTACCAGGGATACTAAGCGAGGTAATGCCAATTCAACCTACATGCGATCTGATGTATATCTTCCACATATGGTAGCTTGGCTTGAAGTTGTGACGTGATCTGGTCCGAACGTCAGCTACCTTAGGACGTGGAGCGAACGCGATAGCGAGGTGCACCCCAGCAGCGAATATTGAGAATCTCTAATTTCAATTTAATGACACCGTCACTGAGATTCACGAATGCAAGAAGAAGTATTTTACCCGACGTCTTGGAACACGCGCTCAAGGCGCAGCCGGCGGGATATGCACAGATGGTTTCTAGCATTTTGTGCCAAGGGCTTTCGTTCGCGCCAAAGAGTTGCGATGAGCATTACTTGGATCAGAACCACCGAAACATGCTCGGATGTCGTTCGCGTTCGAAGAAGAATCCCGAGATTCTCGCAAACAGCTTATTTGAAATGTTCTCTAGAATTTGTATCATATTATATCCCTCAGAGTCATACACGAATGCTTCTATTACGGTATGCAGGGCTTTGACATGGTGACATTCATCGTCTTCGTTTGGAGATAAAATTATAACGGATGTAACGTGCTTCGTACTATGAGCTTGGGGGAATAACATGCAGAGGTCGAAACCTTCTGTTTATCAAGCTCTGGCCGTTTAGATCGAGTTTGACGCAGTCTTGGATAACGTTTAGCTGCTAGCGCCTGTTGCACATATCTCAGCTTTGGCGTCTATCATTCACCTTTACCTTCGTAATGATCTATGGTAATACTGAAGATGTGCTGTGAGTTTCGAGGAAATTCGACAAGTTGCACTGAGGAGATAGAAGACGAAGTTCACTGTGATATTCTGGACGGATTATACTCAAGATATGACATATACAAATCTATGTTTACTCAAGGCAATGCTTACCTGTGTTATTTCCAATGAGATATTCTATGCCTGCAAGACATTTCTTGAATTCAACTAAAATCAGACGATTGTTATTTGACCCGTCGTTGAATCAGCGAAGAGTGATTCAAGAACTTCTTTGTCTTCCCGACCCCATACGTCAAAACACCCAATCCTCTCATATTTTCCTTCCTCCTCAAGCGACTCAACCAACACAAGATACGAAGACCACCGTGCAAAATCGATATCTCTGCAGAACACATCGGAGAGCTCGTGAGGAACTGAACTCACGATGTTCAAGTCTCGAACCCCAACTTCCAACGTGTCCGCCTCTGCCTTTTGCTTGCGTGATATTTGCCTGGGCTTGCTCACGCCAATTACAATACCTTCCTCTCCATCATTCAGCTTGAGGTCCTTTGTTCCAAGAAGAAACACCACGATATTAGTCAAGTTATAGCCGCGCCTTCGAGTCAGTCCGGCAACGTCGTCAGGCTCAAGCTCGATAGACCAGCGATAACCATGCTTCTCTAGCGACAAAAAGCAGATATCCTGCACCGTTCCATCTTCGTAAATACCCTGCGCAGAGTCGAAGTCTAGTCCGCGCACCATGTGGCCACGCAAGGTGATAGATCCGGAGCACAGTTGGCCAGTCGGTTCGTCTTGGATTACAGGCACCGTTCGAGCTTCGATGACGTCGGCGTAAGATACGAATGGCGTGCTCGGAAGACAGGTGAGATAGGACATTGGTCCTCTCAAATGTGCCCAACTCCACGTCGGAGCGACATAGCATCCGGACTCGTGCCAGTCTCCTTGCTTGTTGCGCTCTTTCAGCACGGCCATCCAGGCTACCATGTCTTCCGTGTTTGTATCTCCTATGCTTTCAACGTTTCTTCGGTTGGTGGCTTTCATGAAAGCATCTAGATCTGATTTTGATGGAGGCTTCCACGCCAGCTGGGCCACCAGGTCTCCCTTCCAAAGTCCGGCGAGGTACTCCTCCGGAACAGTGTCAGAACCTTGGGCCATCAAACGTTGGAATCTGTCTACGAGACCTCGAAGAGCCGGCATTTTGTCCGACTCGTGTGCTAACGATCGCTTCGCGTAAGCCCGAACAATAAGACGCCAAGTATCATAAATGCTTTGCATGTCGTGTTTACGCCCCAATGACAGTTCTCGGTTGGATAGGCCAGACTCCCGACGGCATTCACACTCCGTGAGGGTATCGCACTCCCACGCCATCTCATCACTGGTGAAATGTAGCACCCGTCGACTCATCAGTCTTTCCTGCATCGTCCACCCTCTCGAGTCAATGGGCTGGCTCAAGTCCAGCGAGCGACCCGAAACCGTGGGGTGAGGTTGCGGCTTGGTGAGCACCATCGGAGTGACATCTCCATCGGGGCCAATATAGGTACGATACTCAAGCTTCGAGAGGGCTTGGTCTGTTTGGAAGAGACCCTGGTTTGCAGAGTTGCTCCCGTCGGCACTAAGAGTGAGGGTGGCACCAGAGTAGACCTCACACATGAGCGCCGCTTCATGGGCCCAGTCTTCCGCAGAGTCCTGTATGATGCATAGCCGATCTACCCAAAGATATTTCAAATCGAGCTTTCTAGCCGCATGGACTGCATCTCGAATTGTCTTCGGCAAGCCGTGGATTTCGATGCCTTCGAGATGAGAGTGGTAGTTTTTTGTCGTAGTAAGGAGTCCAGGCGCCCCAGAGCCCCAGCAATAGCTGAGAGCCGCGTACTCACCGCTCTCATCTTGACTTTCTCGGAGGTGAACTCGGTCTTGATCGGCTTCGCGAAGGTCGATTACTCGTGTTGGTAAGAGTGCTGATCCAGATATGCTGCACGTTGTATGCCGTTCGCGGCAGTTGTCTAGCCACTTCTTCGCTAGAAGCAGCACCTCATCTGAACCTGAACTAAATTGGACCTTTGCAAGGCTTGCAGGTTTGAATCTCGGCTCATCTGAAGTGAGGGGGTTGATGCCCATCTCATGAGACCATTCTTGACGGAGTTGTCAGCCAATTCGGTAGCAAGCGCTTCTAATGTCAAGCAAAGAGACTTACCCATCGGTGGTCCAACTTGCAGCTCCCGTTCCATGCTGCCAACATTCTGGCTTTTCCTGGTGAACTGTTCACCTTGAAGCTCAAAGTTGCTTTCCTCTGCACCAACGTCCACAACAACCGCAATTTCCAGCCAACTCGACCACGGCTGTCTCACCCGGATGGTAACTCTTGTATCTTCGTCCGGAGGCCACTGAATGTCGTCCAAAGGATGTTGTAGCAGGGCGGTCCATACAAACGAGCAGAACCCACAGGCCCTAGCTTCCGCCACCCGCTTGAGAGTCGCGCCCGATGCCGAGTACTCTCTGTATGGACCCCGGAAGTTGTCGCCAGGATGTATCTTCAGTGGTACCACCCCTTCACAGACCGCACAGATTGTCGGCAAGAGTTTAACTAATCGATGGCCTTGGCTGTGGTCGATTCCCTGACCTGGGAGCAGGACACATTTTGAGCAGAAGTCGATTTGTTCCGAGACGCAGTCTAGACAGGAGTATCGAGGCCCAGAGATTCTGTTGTCCTCGTTGTCTGTGGTGGTACAGGTTGGATTGTCACAGCAGGCGTCGTCGTGTCTCAACGGATCTAGAACGAGGCGATCCTCGAGGCCATTTGTGAGTTGATAGACTGGGTTCGTTATCCCGTCGGGGATTTCGCCGAGTCGTTTTAATGGCCTTTCGCAGAAGAGTAGGATGTGCGACTTTTCAATAATGGGTAAGATATCCATGATGATGATGTAAACCCTTTGCCCTGTTTAAGGCGCATTTCAATGGACCGGTTTCAATCCTGATGTGGAAAGCAGCACCACTTCATGTGTTTTCTTGCAGTACGAGCTTCGGGCTCCAGCATTTCGAGCGACTGAGAATTAGGCATCCAGGTGGTTGGTGGTTCCGCTTACGTTGTGTAGCGCCCTAGCATAGCCCACCAACTGAACCAATGCTGTGCAAGGGTCATTCACAATGTCACGTTTTTTGAGAACACCATGCTCGAGACCGTAAGCACCAGCGAAATGTCTACACAATCTGGGGCCTATTCTTCACGGACTATACCACCGAAATTTGACCCAGTTTCTTTGATTGCAGTCATGTCAACCTTATGGTGGAAATATAGACCCCAGTTGCGCCATCTTCTATTAGGCATTATACTGATTCGCGCGCGTCGCGGTCAAGTCAACTTTTCTACAAGCAGCACCACTAATCCTGACAACTTCGCGACATTGTTTTCTGTCCTCATGAATGGACTTTCTTCCTAGGTTTTGATTGTGGGCATAAATGCGCTGCATTTGTCCCTTTCCTACGTCTCTCCTTTCTGGAGCATGTTATCTAGTAACCGTAGCCACCACCGCCACCACCACCCGTGGACGGAGGAGGAGAGTTGCCTTTGGGAGGTGCACCACCACCGCCGCCGCCGCCGCCATACTGTCCGCCGGGTGTGTTAATCTTGGGAGGGGCAGATGGACCTTTGCCGGCCGGGGGAGAGTTGCCCTTCGGAGGAGCACCGCCCCCGCCGTACTGTCCACCGGGTGCATTGCCCTTGGGCGGGGCGGCTGGACTGTTGCCGCCCGACGCAGCAGGAGCGTTGCCCTTAGGCGGAGAAGCTGGACCGTTTCCATACTGCCCGCCAGCAGGACCACCCTTTGCCGGAGAAGCAGGACCGTTGCCTGGCGCGCCAGGTCCAGATGGACGAGGGGGAGGTCCGATGGGCTTGCCTCCTCTGATCTCATCGGGAATGTTGGGAACAGGACCCTTGCTGGCGACCCAAGTGTCGACGTTGCCCTGGTCGGAGGCGGTGAAACCAGACGGAGCCCAGCGTGCGGGAAGTGACTTTGTGCACTCCGTCAAGTCGTTGATGTTGTAAACGCCCAGAAGAGAAAGACGAACGTATTCGTGTGCATACGCCTGATGCAGAGTTAGAATTGTTCAAGAGGGAAGTTTCAGCAGATGAGCTTACCGCGTTCCACGCAGCTTGGCCACCGGGACCAGCAAATGCAGCAAACTGGGCGCTGGTGCTAGGGTATTTGGATAGTGCAATGTCGCTGTTGAACTTGAAAACGCGCGGAGGGGCGTTGCCGATGGTTTCGGAGTAGAACTTGACATCCCACACACCAGGGGTGCTGTCCTGGGGGTCGCCAGAACGTGAAGGGTCGACAAAGCGTTGCTGACTGGTCGTGTGCGCACCAATGAGCGAAATAAGGCCGTAAGAGCTGATGGTTTTGTTGTTGAAAAGATCGATTAGGGCATCAGCTGGGCTGTTGACGTCGGGAAGGAGGTTGGGAGGAGCAGCAACTGATGAATCCTTTCTTCCAATGAAGGTCCTGACGCGGGGACCCAGGGGACACACAACGGTAGCAGCGTTTGCGGAGAACTGGATGAGATCCGCCATGCTGATTCCGTATTGCTTGTATTTGTTATACCATGTCTTGGTTTGCTCGATAATTTCTTCCAAGCCCTTGTTCTCGACACGGGAGGCTTCAGAAGAGGACAGCACAATCGAGCCGTCAGCGCCACCGAGGTTGCCGGTTCCCTTGGACCAACCAGCAGCATCGTGGAAACCGAGGCGGATTGCTGCGCGAGCGAAGTCGGTGCAGCGGCCAGATTCACCTCTGAAAGTGGTTGCAAGGTCGTCAGCGATGTACTTCCAGATGCAACAGGTGTCGGCAGCGCAAGCTGGTGTGTCTTTGGCTGGGAGTGCGGCATTGTTGGGAGCGGGAGCAGGAGGACTACTGGCTCCTGGAGCTGGCGGCTTGCCTCCCGCTGGGGCCGGAGGAGCACCGCCATATGACCCACCTCCCGGGGCCGAAGGTGGGGCGCCACCGGGGGCAGGAGGCCTGCCACCGCCAGGAGCAGGAGGAGCGCGACCTCCGGAAGCTGGAGGGGAACCACCGCCACCAGAAGGAGGAGCGCCGCCTCCACCACCACCAGAAGGCGCACCACCTCCGCCGCCGCCACCACCCCCGTAACCGTAGTCTCTGGGATGGATAGGAGCGGATCTCTTCTTGCCGGAAGGGTAAGCCTCGTCGCTCTCGGCGTTGCCAGCACCGGAAAGGAGCTGCTTGATGTTCTTGCCAACGGGAGTGAGCTTCGAGTCGTCGAGTGTCGCGAGATCGCCAATGATTTCGGTCGACTTGCCGTCGTTGGAATTGCCCTGGCGGGCCGCGATCTCGGCGAATGTGTTCTTCATACCGGGGTAGCCCAAGACGGGGGTTGCCACGAGGGCTGCGGTGAGGATGGAAACGCGCATGATGAGACGGCGAGACCAGCTGGCGAATGATTAAGAAACGAACGTGTGATTAAAAGCGAAAGTGTAAGAGAGAACTTCTCTTGGATATTATGAACGAATGTAGAGAGACGCAAGCTCGAAGCCGATGTGATCTGAAGAGAGCCAAGACCCATGATTGCGGGAGTTGCTGGTCCCTTATATGTTGAGTTGTAGTTCGAAGGACTTCACCTTCCGGAACTGATCGTATGATGCGAAACCGCTCCGTCTTTCCTAAGTCAGGCTGAGGAGAGCCGTGAACTGGTGCTAACATCGGATTGCATCAAAAGGTCCTCATGCACATTGACGCCGGCCTTAACCATGGCGCCGGTGTGGTGGTCAACTAGTTGCACTATGGCTATGTTGAGCCGGGTGCAATCCTGAAATCCCGGGTATCGGATGCGATCTTGCTCAGCCTCTCCTTTTGGTCACTATGTGAAACTCGATCGGGCTCGTGGCTGCTAGCTACCGTGGTCTCGCAGTCTGCGGGGCGTCGTCGAGAACCGTGGGTGGCTTGCACCAACCTATGGGAAGCTTTACATTGTCATTCTTGTGTATGCATCGTTTCTTTGGTCTTCAGACCATCTTGTAGCTTATTCAAGACTGCCCATAGCATTAGCAATCGTAGATGGATCTTCTGGCCATGATGAGGTGTTGGGCTGCTCAGATTCTCGTGCATCGTGTGTGACGCCTGCCATTGAGGCTCACATCACGTCTGCGCACCTGCCAACCCCATCTGAGTGACTGATTGACTGTTGACAGACATCCCCAGACTTGCCATGAAAATAGACATGCGTCTAGGAAGGTTTCGGACTAGCAGATCGATGAAGAAAAGGGGCAACTGTCTTAGCGCAATGAACCGTTCGCACATTAGCCGTTTGTGGCTGATCCGATGTTCTGTTTAATACGAATTGGCTTTGCCTAGTCGCAAACGCGCAGATTAATTCGAATCCACCTGAAACGAGATGGTCATCAGCGAAGACGCCATAGGCTTAGGTAAACAGCGCTAATATGCTTATTTGTTCCAAGAGCTTTTGACGTTGAAATAACACATCGAGGTGGAATAACTACGACTGCATCCTGACGCGTGCATTCGTGATCTTTTGGGTTGAACGTTAACTGCTAAGCCCGGAATGAAAGACGTTTCTGCCGTAGAGCATTGTGGAGTTATCTTCCTGGCCGAGGAAAACGCGATGCACTGCGCAAGTTGCAAACTATACGAGGGGCACATACAATCTGCGACTTCATACCAGAAACAAGCAGTGAAACTCGTGAATCTCGTATTAGCGCAGGTATTCCCAAGCTACTGTGGAGGACTCGCCCATCCCGAGAGAAACGTTCGTGCTCTGGCAGCTGCGACCGACGATCGTCTACCGGCTCATTACCGAGACTGTTCGGCGAAAAGGCCAGCAAACCGGCCGTTGAGGTTCGGCATGTCACGCCTCTAGCAACTTCCTGTGTCGCCGCCGTCATAACGAGCCTCAAACTCTCTGCGCGGATCCCTTCTCCACGGCATCAGCGACGATCGCCGCGCCCGCAGCTGTCATGCTTTGTTTCCGAGCAGGCCGCAACCCTATGCCGCCGTGTCTGACTTTTGCGGCCGATGGAACACAGATCCGGTTTCGTTTCGGCGATATTTTTGGGATCGCGGCCGTCGTTCGGCATGCCACCCATGACATGGACCTTAGTCAGGTAATCCCCTCATCATGACTAAACCGACATACCTTTCTCCATACTGCGTATGTTCCCTAGCAACTTGCCTTGACTAGTTAGACTGGTTCCTGATTCGCACAAGCAACCCACGGCCAACGTGAGAGTTCACCTAGCTTGGACTATAAACACAGTTGATGATTCACGATGCGGGGAGTTGTTGAGCTGTTGTTTTCTAGTTGCTTGAGTGTATGGAAGGATAGTTCTCTCCACGATTTGTGGTTTTGGGAGGGTATCAAATTATGCTGGCTGGCGGTTGTCTTTTTTTCTACTACATGCAAACGCTCATACGCCGGTGTCTCCTTCCTCGCTTCTCCATGCAGTCTATGAAGCAGACGCTTTTCGCTGATATGTGAAGCCGAGCAGGATATTATGGGTGCAAAGGCTGTGTGCCCGCGGTGGGCGTCAGCCGTGAAAGACCATTGTATTATGATGGTTTGGTGTCCTGCACCTGGCGTCGTATAGTCGTCGAACCTGCGGTGCAGCTTCGTGAGGGCGGGTGTTGAGTGAAGTGAATTTGTATCGATGTCCAATGTCTGTAACCTGATGTCTCGTCGTTAGATATCGTGTGTAGTAAAATACGGGATGGTTGTATCGGACTTACATCGACCCTCGCTGTAGTTCTTCATTTCCTATTGATCCAGTAGATGAAGCCCCCAACCCCAAAGATACACGTCGCCGCTGCCATCGTGTTAGTCTACATTATGGAAGACCCGGCAGAGTCTGGTGTCATGTCGACTTACCAACTGCTAACGTCTCCAGCACCGTGTGATCCACACTCCTCTTCATCAACATCGTGCCAACCTCAACAGCCCCCTCCTGGAGGAGTCTCGCATCGATAACGGGCATGACGGCTTGTGAGAAGAAGAAAACGTAGGTAGTAATACTATTCAACAATGGACAAGAAAAGAACTGGTCGGGTATGTAATGTCGATCACCGGGATCAAGAAATGATGGGTTGGCGTTTTGTTCCTCCGTGGACGACACTACAAACAGACCAAGAGCCGCCTCGCCTTACACGGGAGAGCAGCAGCGCGGCATCCATACATATAAAAACCACAAAAGCAAGTCTTGAGGAACCATCGAAATTGGGGCCCCCCCCCGGTTCCGCCATCACCCCTGTGTCTGTCTGTCTCCCCCGAGGTCTCCGCCCCGTCGCAACAAATGAACTGCGCAATCACCTTATCGTGGGGACCACCGCGCCGTCCGCCTCAGCGTCCCGGGGCCTGGGCTGTCGAGAGAAGCAAGGCCAAGGGAACCACCCCCGTCCCCTCCCTTAGCATGAAGCGCGCGTCTGGGTTCGCACAAAACTGCCGTTAGGGTGGCCGTCCTCGACAAGTGTGGGCTTGGGAATGGGCTCATGTCATCTCATTTCGGGTTTCAGTAGGGGGCTGCTCATGCAAGGTCCCACGTTATCTTGGCTTTTGCCCAAATACCACGAACGGGGAGGTAGGTAGTTGTGTGGCCCTGGGCGAATCACCAATTAGAGCCCCCCGTTCCGCAACTTTTTGGGTGTGGTCTGGGTTCCTGGGTTCCGGTACCCATTGAGTAAGGTAAAAGAAAAAGGTGTGGTTTCGGGGCCGCGTTCCTTAAAACGGGCTGGACCCGACCGGGGTGCGCAATTTGATGGGTTTGGGCGGGCGGTTTCTGTTACCGTACAGTACACCGCCACATACGACGACGGGTTTTGAAGCAAGTCGACGCGGCCGATTTACGGATCTGCGAACGACTCGGCTGATGATGGAAATCATAAAAGATACTCTGGATTCTTTTTGGTTTTTCGAGGGTTGGACTTTGCGAGGGCCCGGCAGTATGGTTCGTCATTTGCATATGCAGGGTTGGTGTGCGATGCGCAGCGATATGTTTCTGTCGCTTTCGTCCTGTCCAACATCCCACCTCATGCCCATCCCTTTCTCTTCACAAGCCTGAAATCTCACCAGACATACCTGGCTTCGTGCTCCCATCGGCATCACTTCAGAATGTCACAAAACCGCGTGGTCCTGCCGCGAGTCCTGCGGCGGAAGCACATCAGCTCGGTGGGGGGATCTCACCACCAGCGCAGCCAACGACCCGTTTCAGCCTCCTGAAACAAGGAGGATCTGCGGGTAAAAAGGTCGCATGAACCCCTACTTTACAGCACGCTCAGTGAAGACCCCCTAGCACATCTGCCCATAATCCCACAACCCGGCGACACGGGGACATTTATTAGACGACGACGACGGCCTTCTGCCGCAGACGCCGCTTACTGTCTTGTCGGGATACATGCGTGTGTGTGCGGCGCTCTCAAACTGCTTCCGCAATCCACATGCCTTATTGTTTAAAAACCGGGCTTGTGGTTGGAAACACGTGGGGATGGAAAGGGGCCTTCTTCTTGTTACTCTGGTGGTGGTGGTGTGTGTGACTTGGTTGTCGGAGAATATGCATGTCTTGTGCCAGACGACTGGATAACGTCGTCACCCATCTCGAACGAAAAAGCCAAGATGAACAAGCCCGAAAGGCAGAATGGATCTTGGCAGCTGCCCACCACCACCACCACCGTCCGTTTTCCCCGTGACAGGCTTCGCGACAGCTTGGCTGCGTGGCTTGGCCTTGGCCGTGGTCTTTCTAGTTGAACGCTGCCATTCAGAGTTTAGATGATCAAACCTGGTGTCAGCGATTTTCGAGGCTTGGAGGCTGAACAGGAGAGAGAGTCGGCGCAAGTTGCAACCCGTTCGGCAGATTCGGGCGGTAAATTGGAGGTTCCACCGTGTAAGAGTGCCAAGGGAATTCTAGATCTGGCTGTTGAATTTCAAAAGTGGCACTGATGTGTGTTCCTTGCTCGGGTTCCACCGCTCACTCCGGCTTCCGGTATGGAATTCGGTGATGATGACTGCAATTGACTATGAGAGGACTTGGCTTTGCCGGAATACTTAATGGCCTCGGGTCTCGCTGCTGCAAGGCCATGCTGGGTGTTGCAAGCCATGGAGGACCTTCCTGGTGATGGCTTGAGGTGCACGGTTACGATGCCTCGTCGTCTGGTTACGTGCATCTCAGATTTCGTATTTCCTGCTTCGGAGTCTGTGGTGTTCGTCAACCGGTGACTTGGTAGGCGTCGTGAGTGTGGATGCACAGTATCCAGCTGGCGATGGCTGGAATTTGAAGATTGAAAATGCCGTCGTCGAATTTTCCGTTGTCTCCGTGCTCCGGTACGTCACCGAATCGCTCCATGGTCGCCAAAACCACCATAATTGAGCCAAATCTGATAATCTATTACAAGGAAGGATCCGAGTTGACAATTAGAATCGGAATCCCAATCCACCAGAAATCCTCCAGAGTCATAGCCCGAGTGACTAAGGCATACTCTATCCCGACGACGGCTTCACTTGGTCCTCCCGCCTCGGACCGTATTCAACTCCTTCTTCCCGTTCTCCATCACCTTCCAAGCCATGCCCCTGGACCTTTTGTCGATGCCCTCTTTTCTCACATGAGCGTGGTTTTCAAGCATGACAACGCAGTTACACGAGACCACGGCATAGTGCAGAAGCCAGCCGAGACTTGCATTACGGCCTCTCTTGGCGGAAAGAAGAGTGGGCGGAAATGGCTGGACCGCGGGCCGCCGCCCCACACTCTCTCACCCGCATCTCGAGATCTCGGGATCCGGTGTCGCCCCGGTTGCATATCGAGGCGAGAAGAAAAAGAAAGCAACGACACATTTTACAGAAGTCGCATATTCTAACCCAGCCTTGTTGACGTGTCCTCGCATCAAGCCTCTGCTAGCATTTCGCGCCGGCGTAGTGCATACCTCCTTCGCATGTGACCCATGTGGGGTTAGCTTTTCCAGAGACACACATCCGACATCAAGATGGTGCTAAAAAGCAGTCTAAACACCCGCATAGCTGCATTGCGAACACTTCTCTATGCCGTTCGCCTTCCGGCTCTAATTAAACCACGAGTCCATCTCATTTTCAACTATTCGCCTTTGCCACTAAATATTTATCAAGGCAGGCAACTCCCTTTGCAGCGAACATTGGGAGGGAACCTTCATGCGGGAAAACGGGATCCTCGATATCCCCGAACCCGTGTTCTTTCGTCTGAGCCTGATGTTTTTCCGCGACGCATCAAAGCCGAAAGAAGAAGTCGCGTTTTGTCACAGGCCAAGAAGCGTCTGAGCACCACCGCCCTTCTACACACCAGTGTGGGAGACTGTCGCCTCCCCCGGGAAACCCGGCCTAATTGAATGAAAAGAGAGGAGATCCAAATACAGAAACAGAGCAGTCCAGGAAACCCCAAGCAAGAGTATCTCCATTCTCCATCGTCGCGAAAATGAAGAAGCCTTGGAGGATATCAGCCCTCCTCGCAGCCCTTTCGGCGTTATCCACGACAGCAACAGCAGCGGAACGATGCGCCCCAGAAACGTTCGCCCTCCCGCAGCATCCCCTCCCAGGCGCCGTCCTGGTGAGGGTCCTCGCGACGCCCGTCCGTGGGCTGCGCTTCACGCCCACGTCGCCCGAGGGCCGCGCAGCCATCCCGAGTTCGGGCGTCAGCTTCTGCAACGTCACGGTCGAGTACGTCCACGCGGGGTTCGAGGACCTGACGCGGGTGCAGGTGTGGCTGCCGCTGGCTGGTGAAGGAGGGAAAGGTAGTTGGAACGGGAGGTTTGTCGGTGTCGGCGGGGGAGGGTACTCGGCGGGGCAGTTTGGCAGCGAGGCGTTTGGGGTGAGGGTCGCGCAGGGGTATGCGGGTGAGTCTCTTTTTCTGTTCAGGTGTCCTTCGAATTCCTGTGGTTATGGCATGTCTCTGCGGTTTGCACGTGGTTTGATTTGCGAGGAATGCTGAGGGCTGACTGGAATGCGTAGCGGCCGCAACGGATGCGGGGCACGACACCACGAGCTGGGAAGAGGCGCCGTGGGCGCTGAACGCCGACGGGACGGTCAACGAGCGGCTGCTGGAGAACTACGCGCACGTCTCGGTGCACGACATGACGGTGATCGCCAAAGCGGTCATCACTCAATACTACGGCCGGGCGCCCGCGTACGCGTACTGGGCGGGCTGCTCGACGGGCGGGCGGCAGGGCATCATCGAGGCGCAGCGGTACCCGGAAGACTACGACGGGATCCTGTCGGGCGCGCCGGCGGTCAACCAGCCGAGCCTGATCGTGAGCACGTACTGGCCGCAGTTCGTGATGAACCGGATGGGCGTGTACCCGCACGTGTGCGAGATGGTGCTCATGACGCAGTTCGCGGTGGAGGCGTGCGATGAGATTGACGGGGTGAAGGATAATGTGATTGCGGACCCGGATAAGTGCGACTTTGACCCGGCGAGCGTGGTTGGGCGGGAGCTGGACTGTGGTGGTGGAAGGGTGATGGAGATGTCGGCGGCGGCGGCGGAGATTGCGCGGGAGATTTGGAGAGGGCCGCACGACGAAGATGGGAAGCCGCTGTGGCTGGAGAAGGGGTACCCGATCGGGGCGCCGTTCACGGGGCGGTTCGGGCTCGGGAACGTGAACTGCAGCGTGCCGGGGGCGCCGTGTACGGGGCACCCGTTCCGGATGTCGGTGGAGTGGATCCGGAACCTGGTGCACAAGGACCTCGGGTACGACGTGGCGGGGATGGACTACGCGGAGCTGGAGGCGGCGTACGCGCAGAGCCGGCGGGAGTACGAAGCGGTCATCGGGGCGAATGACCCGGACCTGAGCGGGTTCAAGCGGCGCGGGGGCAAGATGATCAGCTGGCACGGGCTGGCGGACGAGTGCGTGACGATGCGGACGTCGCGGGACTACTATGACAAGGTGCTGAAGAGGGACGGCCGGGCGGGGCGGTACTACCGGCACTTTGAGGCGCCCGGGGTGTACCACTGCTACGGGCTCAACGGGACGTTTTACCCGCTCAAGGGGCTGGAGACGCTGCGGGCGTGGGTGGAGGAGGGGGCGTTTCCCGAGGTGCTGGATGGGTTTAGGCTGAGCGGGGGCAACGACAGCGAGGCGCCGACGAGGCCTTTGTGTGCGTACCCGGCGGCGGCGAAGTTCAAGGGGGGCGATCCGGCGAAGAGGGAGTCGTGGGGTTGTGAGAGGAAGGGCGGGTGGTACAGCACTTGGGGGCGGGACGAGTTGTAGAGGGACACGGGGAAATCTTAGAAGTGGATATAATTTATTATCAAAAGTAGTTACAACGCATAATACATATTGGTTTAGATGAGGTCCTGAACGTTGCGTCTCCTAGCTGGCAGAGAGTATTGCCGAATAATGCTCCCCGAGGAGACACTGCAATTGCAAAGAAAAGAGGGATTTAACTTCTGATAGCGCCAGCGGGACTGCCGTAGCGCAACGTGATAGTGCCGTGGCTTGGGCTGAAGGGCCAAGGCCTTTCTGAGGCTACCTAGTTGCGAGTCACCAAGACTCGTCCAGCTGCGAGTATCACGGTTAACATTCACCGGTGACAAACAGCAGCAGCAAAACATGCAATTGCTACAGCCACAATCAGGTGAAGTTGACAAACGGGAAACCGCATCGGGGAATGAAAAGACGGGAAGCAGCAGGTGGAGCCTTTCCTCCGGAATTCGATCCGCCAATGGCACCTGTCGAGAGAAGGAGCATCCCCGCCGGTTAGCCGTTATCTTGCCTTGGTTGCTTGGGCGGGGCTTGGCTTAACCCGAAGCGGAGAATCAGGGTCTCAAGCGAGGGGCGCTAGCTCGTGGTTACATAAGCCTGGCCACCTACAACTGCCCGAACCTGCAAAAAAAAAAAAAGGGACTCTGAAGGAGGGTTCGCTCCACTGGCGGGAAGCCGACGGGCCCCGTTGGCTTCATCCAGAGACACGATTGGACGATTGGGGGTGTCGCCACCTGTGGCTTTCTGTGGTGCCTTCCCACAGTTCACAGTTTTCAGGGTCCAGAGCATGCCGCTCCCCGCTTCTGTGCTGATGTTCGCATTTCCCGTGCCTGCCCTCGCCATGGACAGGTGGGATTCATGGATGCCCGTAGCTCCTCCTCCTGATAGTGGCCTTTGGACCTGCGGGTGCCGTTGCTTCCCTTTCTGCCTGCGTTTTGGCTGCAGCGCCTGCATTTCTTCATGGCTTGCTCTAACAGAGGCAGTTGCCGGTCGTAGTAAGTGGACAGGTCCTTCCTGGCTTTTGAGGCCCGGCCGGTCCCTTCCCTGGCACCTGCCGCCATGTCCGTCACTTTGGCAAAGCAAAGAACAGGCAGGAAGTCGCCCCCTCCCCCCTCGCCCCTCCCCTCCTGCCACACACAGAGTTCAGGTACTTTCCCGTTCCCAGCCCGTTTAAAGAAAAGAGTGCTCGCTCGAAGAAACCTCGATCTCGATCTCCTGCTTCACGTCCGAAGATCGAGCACCACTACCTACCATCGCAATCGCCCACCCTCACCCTCCACCGGCCGCATTCAATCCCTGGCCGCCGTGTGCGCCTGTGCAGCACCCCAAGAGAACCGCCGAGGGCCGCTGCATCACTTTATTCGTTTAATTCATTTATCCTCCGGCGCTATCGCCGTCCGACCTCTGATCTGCTGCCGCCGTTCGATCGATCGTCTCGCTCCGCGCGGTCGCAGCGCTGCGCAGCCCACCCCCGTGACGACGCCGGGCCTGGCCGCTCCCGCATCGATCACATTCAGATACAGACATTCGACTTTCCCATCATTTTCCCCATCCTATTCTTCAAAATTCCGTCCCACGCCATTACCGTGCGGCCCCACGTGCGAAGCCTCTGCTTTCGACCCGCCCGTGGGCCCCCGGCTCGATTGATGCCTTCCGGCCCCAAGAGTTCACGATCCGCTTCACCCTCGAGATCTGAGTCGTCGCGCAGAGCCCGCGATGCCGCCGCCGCCGGTATCCCCAAACCCAACCCGGCATCATCGGCGGCATCCGGCTCCCGCGGCGACCTCAGTAGCGATGGAAAAGCAGACTCTGCCACCCCTCCTCGCCTCTCCTTCAATCACCTGAAGCAGGGCGAGAGCCATCAACGCGTGAGTCCTTTCCACTTGCTGTACTGCTGCCTTATCTGCTTATCATCCTTATCTACCCTGCCCACCTCCACCATCATCCTACAACGTCCCCTTCTGTCATCAATACATCAGCCCCATTCTAACCTTCCCTTCGTCCTACAGATTCGCCATGGCGCAAAGCAGCTGCTTCGCCTGACGGAAAACTTCGCCGGCTACAATGGCCCCGGCCCCGACGGTGGTTATGACACCACCAACGACCAGGCCCTGCCCAGCGACAGCGACATACGCGCCATGACCAGGCTGTCACATGGCATCGCTCGCGACATCAGCCAGATCATGGCCCTTCGGAAGGACGACCCGGGCCACCACAAGCGAAAGAGCATGGAGGAGCAGTTCGGCGCCGTCGGCCCTTCCACCAGCCAGGCTGGCATGGCCATGCCCGACTACGCGAGCACCGCCGGCCGCACCAAGAACCGCCGCAAGGTCGAGTTCTCGTGCCACAAGTGCCACCGCGTCGACACCCCCGAGTGGCGGCCCGGCCCGGACGGCCCCAGTACCCTCTGCAACGTCTGCGGCCTGATTTACGCAAAGAGAGAGCGCAAGAAAGAAGGCTCCACCATGCCGACCTTTGGTTCTCCCAACTTTTCTTGAATACCCATCGCCCAAGTGGGCGTGTGAGACGTGTGCGATGCGATTTCTTTTTTACATATTGTGATGGCTGCGGGAGGCCTTGTGGATTATGAGATTTACATGTAAGATACCCCCCGCGATGAAGGACCCGACAGGACCGTTCGTGTTTGCTTGTGTTGGAAAAGGATTCGAAAAGGGTTTTGGGAATGCTGGCGCAATCGGCGCAACTGGGACGGCGGAACGTGAATATACCCGACAAGAACTTGATCTTTCTACCTTCTAATACCAATTCTGTTTGTACCTCAATCCACCACCGCAACGTTACCTGGAGTGGTACGATGCTTGGCGTCCACGCTAAGCTCCTGAACGAACCCCGCCCAGCTCACCAGTTCTCGTCGATATGTGTTGGGGGCCATATCTCGTCCCTTGCCCAACAGCAAGAAACTCAGCTGAAGCAAGGGCTAAACCGTCCCATGCATGTCTGACTTTCAACGTCAAGTGTCTCTGATATTGTCAATTGCCGTGTTCAGCTGAAAGCTGGAAGATGCTATTTTGAACACGACAAAGGAAGTGTTGCCCATCCCGCCCGGCGCTAGCTTCGCCCGCCCCTCCCCTCTCGCAGTCGTCGGGTACGAATAAGCATGATGAGGCACAGCTTGCAGATGCCTCCGAGAGCCGCGCCGGAGATGCGGGGAAAGGCGCGGCAGATCTGACCCATCTTGTCAGCCCACCGGGGAGAGAGGAGGGGAAAATCAAGCGCGCCCACAAACGGCAACGCCAATGCTGAGCGGCTCCGCAGCCGACGTTGCATGCAGGCGCAGAATCTCGTATTCCGCTCGTCACGCGGTTATGATGATTTTGGTGATGGCGATCCCACACCGTCATTTTTCATCTACTAAGCCTCGTGTTCGTCCTGAGTGTCGTGACATCGTGGGTGGTTTGCTGGGGTGGGTTTGTCTTGGTTCGGCGATTTTGAGAGGGTGATCGCCTGGATCGCTGGAGACGGGTGGTGTTGTCGGTGTGCTTTGGAGTGAGCTTTTTGTGGCCTGTCAACCTGTTTGGGAAATGTCATGACGGTACCGATCGACCGCTCGTATTTTGTCTTGGGTCTGGGGCTGTAGGGCATATCGCCCGAGGAAGCCGACGATGTCCTGAAGTCGCTTCCGTCGTCATTGCTGCTATTCTCCAGGTATATAAGTCCAAGGAACGTTCGATACTTCAACTCCCGTTCTGCTCATCATCAACACAACCTCAATCATCACACCCTCAACCTCTCAAAACAACCAACGCACACAACCCACCAAAATGCAGCTCCCATCCCTCCTCCTCCCCCTGACCCTCGCCCTCGGCGCCAACGCCCTCGGCCGCGCCGTCGTCGTCAACCGCTGCCCGACCGAAGTCACCCTCTGGTCCGTCGGCGGCTCCGTCTCCGCCGCCAACACGCTCTCCCCCAACGGCGGCTCCTACGGCGAGACCTTCGTGCGGGACGCGACCACCGGCGGCAAATCCCTGAAAGTCACGAACGCGAGGGACGGGCTGTACACCGGCGCCGCGCAGCTGAACTTCGCGTACAACCTGGATGGAAGTCAAGTGTGGTATGATCTGAGCACGGTGTTCGGGGACGCGTTTGCGGGCAAGAAGATCACGGTCAAGGGGAAGGCTGGGTGTGGCGAGATTGTGTGGGCGGCGGGGACGAATCCGGGGGGCAGCCAGGTGAAGGTTTGTGGGAGCGATGGGGATGTGACGTTGACGCTTTGTGCGGCGTAGGATGGTGATGGAAGACGTGGAAGGATGGGGTTAGGATGGGGATGAAGGGTGAGAAGGATTCAGGGAATAGTAATGCATAATGTTTGAATGCTCCGCGAGATGTCTCTTCTAGCCTGAAGCTGTGAAATGAATGCCGTGCGCCGGAGCCCAGATGTCCGAAAGGGGCAGGAGCCGGACGGAGATAGGGCCGTGGGTGTGGGGGCCGGTGCCGGCGCCGGCGCCAATCCCGTCGTGGAGACGAGAACGTGTGGATAGGCAGGAGTATTCAGATCTTCCCCGCCGACGTTGATGGATGGTGAGCGTTTTGTGGTATAAATAACACCAAGGTCCAATTAACGTGGACTCGTCAAGCAAAAATGTCTTGGTGAATAACCCGTTTTGACGCAAGATGGAGTACTCTACCTTGGGATTCACAGCCAGCTCCAGCGTAGAGGTGATTCTGTTGCAAGTTGAGGTGATGAGGGCGTGTCTTCGGAATTTTTTCGACGTGTTGCTTTGGAATAATTGAGAGATGATGGATGAATATGGCGCCAAACGAAATGGCAACTACAGCAAGTTGATCATTCGGCAGGAAACGTAATTGTGTGTGCAACACCAACCCAGCCGTTCAGGCTAAGAAAGCAAACGACAAGGATTAGATGATGAATGTATATGACATGGGTCGACTGACATTTATACTACAAGGCCTTGCCGAAACTGATGCGTACCGAGTGCAGAGGGCCAAGGTAGCAGTTCCTTGTACCGAAGGGCTTTCAGTATTGTTTTCTAGATGAGCCAGATCTATAAATTGGTGATGATTGGGCTATATACTACTCTCGTGGACCCGAATGCGTCCTTCGCTCGGTTGCTGTTCCCTAGGAGATGGAGTAGACACGCTCCACCACTGTAGCAGTTTGGAAGACAATGTTCGGTATGCTGAGAGAGAATTTGTCACATGAACCTTTTGAATGGAGTCTAATCAAGGTTGTATAGACGGGAAAGGACGATAAAGGATGAAAGTCGGTGTAGAAGTGCTCATCAGCACTATCGTGGCGACGAACGACGCTTAGCAGGATTCCGAGGTGGGCAGACTTGAGAACTTGCCAAGGATGACATTGACAACTCGGATTTATCGCTGGCACAACATGAAGGCAATGGGAGAGGTGAACTCGTATTTATCTGTTCAACATTCACAGCTATTTGAATCGAACGCCGAGAAAGATATAAATAATATGGGAGAATGCATACTTGTTAAGATTCTCCACACGAAATCACGCCTCGAGCGCATGGAGTATTGTTAGCGAATAGCATCAAAGCGAATCCATTTGCTTTGCAACGTGCGCTGACGTCTATAGATGAAAAGTATCTCGAGCTTTGATTTATGAGATATTTTGCATGCCAGATAAACTAAGGACGACACCAATGACGGACAGAGAAATTCGAAGGGAGTCCGTTGATGCTTCCAGCTGCGGCTGGGTTGCTTGACAATGACATTCGTGTTTTCATGGTCCAGCGCCTGTGTTTGGAACCTTAGCTTGAAGACCTGCATCAAAAACAGACTCTGAAGCGCATCGTTGGTTCTGGAAGTCTTCAGAAATATATGCTGATGGTGTCTTTATAGTCGAAACTACCACAGTCGTGTATTAAAGAGATATACGGCTTATGAAGTGCCCTGAATGGAGGTAGTATATTATATAAAGACTCGTCAGCTTTAGTAGAAGTCTTGGAGCAAGTGCAATTGTACCATGAATGCGCTTGATTCAGCAAGGAAGCTGAATCCAAAGTCTTTCCCCGGCATCCCTGCGCAGAATCAGTCAGTTTGTTGACACTCGAAAACCAGATCGAAGTGTCATATGGGTGTTCTTAGGAACGTTCGGTGCGGCGTGATACTCACCGGAAGACCACAGAGCGCAGGCTTATCGATGGTGCTGCGGCCATTGAGTTGCATTGACGCGGAGTGGGAGGAATCTTCTGCTTCACCCTATTTGCAGAAAGGATACACGCTACACAGTTCCTGAAGGATTTGCCTCTCTCTACAGATCTTCGTTAGGGTTGTCAATCTTGCGTCAATTAAAGTTCATGGCTAGGTTGTGGTTAGACTACAGAGGGAATCAAATCATCCTTGCCAGAGGCCGGGTATTTCATGTCAAAGTAGAGAGCCCACGAAGACCAGAAAAGTTCAATAATCGAGAAACGGAACTTTCATGAATGGTTTACGGAACTCAAGTTGGTTCCAAAGTTGTAATGACTTTACAAACGGGGCTAGTATGCAAATCGACATTGAGGATGAGGGCTGTTCATTTAATCTGTTCCTTCAAACCAACTTCTGGCCTAAAGTGTGCGAGAAAGTATCAAGCAAATATTAATATGCGACTTAGCAAGGCACTTTGTAAGCTAGGGAGCTTTGAGGCTGGTACACGGGGGGGAAAGTGGTTAGGACCTCGTCTTTGGTTGCTTCCATATGCAAGGTCTCGAAGCAAAGATATCGAAGGAAACTGCTGAATTGAGATCTAAATAGGTTGACGAACAATAACCCGATGTTCTTTGAAATCGACAATTTGTAACATGAGCAGCCGCTGCATATGCTTCACAGCAACTGAACCGTTTCAACGTAAGGTATGTAACTACATCCCAGAAGAGGCCATCATTTGGTGCCGATGACAAGTCAGAGCACTCATCAAGTGCGCCAAGATGGAGAATGCCTAGTTTCTTAAAAGTGTCTACAGCCTCGTCGTTGGGACGAAAATGAATTATTGCCAGCCATTACCCACCCGCTGCGCCACTCGCCATCCATATTACATGCAGTTGAAGATCGGGTATCCAATGAAACAGACCGAACAGAATGATAACCAATGGCCGTCTGACAAGTGCGCTGATGCGCGCGATCTGCAAAAGTTCAATCCCAACACAGCTTACCACAGCAGGCAGCAGCCGGGTCGCTTTCTCACCCATACCCCGCAGCTTGGCCCGTCGTCCCTCAGTTTTAATACCGACTTCTATGGGTTTCTCACACTTGTCTTGTCAAGCGTACTGACAAATTTGCATTTCTCTTGGACAATGTCACCTTGGAAGTTCGGTGCAATGACAGGCGAAGACGACAGTCAAGATGTTTTCTGCGGAAGCCCGTCATCTGGTGCCTTGTCTGCTGGTCTTCCACTGCGTTCCAAAACATACCAACGACCTTCGCCGCTTAGGCAAATGCTACAAACTTCTAGCAAGCAAGTAGCCTCAACGCCCGAACCTTTCCCTAAGCATGTTCAGCACCGCTCAAAGTCAACGACCGATGTTCCAGATACCTCAGTTGCGATCTCAAGTGGTGAAATGTCTAGCGACACTGTCCACTCAACGAGCCAAAGTTATGAGCGCCTTCGCTCAGGGGAGATCAGATTACTACGCATTTTTCCCTCCGAATTCAACGGAGCATCAATCGATGGGTCTCTTGAAGTGTTTACGCTGGTGGCTGCCCCGGATTATACCGCAATATCTTATGCGTGGGGCGATCGCAGGAGCATCTCGTCCATAAGCATCAACGGAGAGGCCACTCCCATCACAACCAGCTTATTGCATGCCCTGGTGACCCTGAGAAAACGCGATGAACCGATCTGGATCTGGGTGGATGCATTATCAATCAATCAGTGCGATGTCGACGAGCTGAATTCACAAGTTCACATCATGGACACAATCTACAGTCAAGCTCATACCGTGGCGATGTGCCTAGGCCCCGAATGCCGCAACAGCGAACAAGCTTTCAAGGTTATGAAGGCCGTGAGAGAAAGATGGAACCCAGAAAATATTTTCCACTCGATGGTATCAAGAGAGCGAAGCCAAATATTATCTGTTGTTCGCTTGTTTGAGAGAAGTTATTGGAAACGACTTTGGGTCATGCAGGAGATCTTTCACGCCAAACGAGTCACAGTTTATTGTGGTTCAGACTATATGGCTCTGGATGACATCTCTATTGTGTGCGATTACTTCAAGTATTACTCTGGTACCATCGAGAATTGGTTTCCCGGCGGGAAGATGACCCAAACTTCGGAGAATCACTACTCTTATGCGCAAATACTGACAACGCAGGGCCCGAACACTTTGTTTCACTCCTCAACAGGCCTACCACACGATACTCTGGAAATACTACGCGTCTGCAGGAGCAAGCTAACTGCCAGACCTCAAGATAAGATTCTCGGTGTCTTGAGCCTTTTACCCCAAGACATCAGGATGATGTTTCAACCAGACTTCCATCTTACGCCACGGGAGGTCTTCACCGAAATTGTCATCTGCATAATTAGAACGTCAAGAATATTAGACGTCATTTGCGAATCCATCCGTTACCCATTCCACCAAAACTCTTTTAACTTGCCAAGCTGGGTGCCGGACTGGTCTCATTCCCCCGACACGTTGTCACTTGCTGCAACTCATCTTTCACATCGCCGCCCATTTCAGCTATGTTCAACAGGAACAGATCTAGAGCGGTCTGAAAAGCCGCCATTGTTCAGCGGGGACGAGTTGCGGATAAGCGGGATTCAAATCGGTACCATAACAGCAAGAGGTATGGCTGTTGGCACCCTTGAAAGACTGTCCAACTATCTCATGGCTTTCTTGGAGTGGAGGCATCTTCTTAACGAAGATAGACATTACACGCGAAGCCACACAACAGCATTTTGCAGGACTCTGTGCTTAGGCGATATTCCGGAAGATGTCTACCCCACGTTGGATCGGCAGTACGAGTTGATAGGATCTCCAGAAGCTTTTGCTGAAAAAGAGTCTTCGGTTGCTGGGTTGCAGCGAATGGATCAATGGCGACAAGCAACTTTCGATCTCTTTGCTCAATTTCTAGGAGAACGCTTGGGTACGCTGCCACTGGACGAAGAACTGCAGTCGCACCAAAAGAAGGGACGTAAGTTCCAGAGGGGACGGCAGTTTCTCCAGGAATACTTCGGGGACCGTATGATGGGTCGGTGTTTTTGCCTCATCGAAGGCAAAGGCAACAAGGGATACATGGGAATGGGGACAGGGTACATGGGTGTTGATGATCTGGTTGTCATCGCCGACAGGTGCTCGACTCCAATTGTCATTCGACCTACAGACCAAGAGGGAAAGTATGAGTTTATTGGGGATATCTACGTAGATGGGTGCATGGACAGGGATCTTGATCGCTTTCACAGCGGGAAGAGGACATTTGTCCTACGTTGAGATCCTTCGCGCAACCATTCGTGTCGATTAGCATGCAAGGAGCTCGACTCACTTCTTGGCGGCTGTCGCTATCGAAATAATGGGTGTTCGGGCCGTGTGCTGCGACACGTCGTCACCTAACAGAACACGCCCAAGAAAATGCCTAACATAACCAGAACAAGGAATGCTATATCAAAACCCAAATTGGCCTTGACTGAAACATGTCTGTGATGAAAGCTGCGTCTCTTGGTTTGACCGAAGAAATGCCAATGATGGAGGCATACTTTCATCGTTTTCGCCCACTAGACATGGATTACTCTCCTCTCCATACTTTAGTTCTCTCATCTTGACTGACTTCGGAGGATTTACTTTAAAAAAAGTCTCGTCTTGCAATTATATTCCTCAGATGGAGAAACTGAGAATCTTCTTCCCGGGCAGACACCTATTAAGCGTAGACGCACAGATGATACATACGATAAAAGAAACTTTAGATGACTCGGACAAAGATGGCGACGGGCACAGTATTCATAAGGCCATAAGTATCTAAGAGAATTATAGAATGAAAAATTCATGGAAACAGTATGATGTTTATTGGAACTAACAAAAAAATTCAATCATCCGCTCGGTCAGCTCAGGGTGTCCACCTGTACAGCGAGGCTCGAAAGTGAATCGGCTGTATATTTTCACTTGTCACATTTGATTTGTGACGACGATGGGGTTGGTTCACGCGGGGCTGACCAAATTCGCAATATTTCACTGCCGCACAAATACACGACGTGTGTCATTGGCTGGACGAGATCAGCCTCCGTAAGCTGCTGACTATTCAGAAGGACACATGCTGAGTCGGGCTTTTCCCATTTCATCATGGGGATGCAGTGAGCTTCGGCCTAACGTTATCCATATCACCGGCATCCAAGCTGTTAGTGCAGTTTTCTTTTGTATCGGATCACATATTGAAATAGATGGGCAAGTGCATTTTCTCTCCTGTCTTGGCAGTTAAGTACGAAACGAGCAAACTGTGCTTGACACAGTTTGCTATGAAGAGGTGATCACGCGAGTTGGAGGATGAAGAGTGGGTCGTGATGTCTTTCTTGTTTTTGTTCGCAACGTTTCTAAGCAAACGGCTGGGTGGTATCCCTTTGGATCAAACCCTTCAACGCCACTGCAAGCTCCAATATGAGATGGAAACAGTCCAGAGATCGTGAAATACTTCAACGGTATTTTGGGGACCGTATGATGGGCCGCTGCTTTTGTGTCTTAGAGGGCGAAGAAACCTCGAAGCTTATTGGCATGGGCACAGGTTACATGAGTATTGGCGATTTGGTCGTGATAGCTCATGAGTGTTCTACTACCATTGGCTTGCGACCTACAGATGAGGGGAAATACGTGATTGTTGGAGATATCTATGTGGATGGATGCATGGATGGAGAGGCGATCTATGACTTGCGATTCATGAAAGGGTTGAATGTCATTTTGTGTTGAAGTTAGTTCATTTACAGCACTCGATGTCACCTGATTGGGTCTCGAAATGATTCAAGTGTCAAGACAGCAATGCTGAAGTCTCTCCTACCGCTCGCAAAGATCATGCTTTCAAACCTGGCCTAGCCAACCTGGGATTTTCTGAGCTAGGTAGCTCAAAAATCTGCTTGAGACGAATTGGAAAGACTTCCACTTTGACCTGATGCCCGATGGACATTCAAATGTCGCAAGAAATTTTATTCTCGACCGGTCTTCTGCAATTGCCCCCAACTGCGCCTCACTCTTAGCGCAACCAAGATGCAAGGCTCTCTCTCGGGCAACTAGTATCTCGCACAAACGCGCCAAGCACGCAACAAAAACACCGCGCGAAAAAGACGCAAGTACTTCATTTCAGGCACTTAACGTCATTATGCAGTGAATTAAGAGGCAGTGCACATTTTGGAGGCGGGCAGTGCTGCAATCAGTGGGTCTTGGCATTCCCGGTACATCTCACGTGTACCGCCGTGAGTGGTGAGAGGATGGACTTTGCAACACCACCGCCCGAGTATTCGCAAATGCCAGAGAGGCCGCCACTCAACAATTTCGTCAACTTGGCGCTTGTTTGGGGCGACGGTCAGCCCCATTCGATATTGCTGTGCTGCCAACGCAAGACTTGCGTGCCAAGACATCATGGGTCATGAAAAGGCTTTGGGACCTCTTTCACATGTTGAGACTTTGAAGCCTAGTAGAGCGGACTAGAGCGCGAAATGACAACTCCAGCCTCATTTTGACGACGACGGAGTGTGGCTGGTGAGGACGTTCGTCGTTGAGCCACCTTGTCATTGCGCAAGAGCGAGGCAGACTGGAATGCGGAGCATCGTATGCAAACCTAAACTATGCCATAAGTCTCCATGAGAGGCGAAATGCCGCTGAAGATACCCAACGCTGCGGTATGGTTACGTTGACGATTTCTTTGATGAGGCAGTGTTGTCAGGCTTCGGTGAGTCGGTGATTACCTTAGTTGCGTGGGGACGCATGTGAAACAGATCGTCTCGTTTTCGCAACGAAAACGACAACGGTTGGCGATCAGGGTGTAAAGCCACTGGTCTTCTTTTGGGAATCTCAGATTTGAACAAGAAATATTGAATGAGGACTAAAACCTGTCACCCCTTGTGCTCCCGGAACAGTCATTATGCATGTCGTCCCAGGTAAGCGCAACCAGTCTTCCAGAACCTCGGGTGGTTCAATACGAGACCCTTACGGTCTATCCGAGTTGAAGAGGATACGACCTGTCGAGAACCTGACCAAGAACCGCAAGCCACCCGTAAACTAGTTTCCACGTGTGTTCGCAACGGTTCTCATATTGAGGCGGAGTAGCTACATGCTCTGTATTTCCACCGATCGGTGTAAATTGACTTCGGTATGAGCCTCTATATTTCGTAAGAACCGTTTTGAAGAGTCAGTGACGACATCGGGACTCATTTTGGGTTCAGTGAAGAGGATCACGGAAATGCCGATAATGCGTATACATAGGCCGCACAACAAAACAAAGTTCGAGGCAACATACTATAATTGCTGCGAATATGGCAAGGCACTTGGTAGGGCACATTGAAACGGTCCGAGATGTCTCAGCACAAGACTGAAAATGATTTTGAAATGGGTCAACGTGATGCATGCCAAGTGGGCGATGACTGCATTGGAATTTCTTGGTCCGTTCAATAGTCAGAGACTAAGAGTCTTCTACAGCAACGGGTTCTTGACCGTCAAGCACCCGAGAGACCTTGAGAACACAGATAGCAGGCTTGAAAACCGAAAGAGATCTATGGCATCCACATCGATTATGATCATGATCCCATGAAAGAGTTCTCTCCATTTTCATAGGTAGGTGGATACAGTCAGTGTTGGTTCAAACCTTCCACAGCTTCAAGGCCAATTGCCTGTTTCGGTTTTCCGGCAGGCAAGCTGTACCGTTTCGTTTCACCATCGACCAATTGCCAACAGGGAAGGAGCGGCAAGAGGAGATGAACGTTGCATCCTCGGACTTGATAAAAGGAAGGAAGCTCTCTCGTCAGACTGTGAAAGTGTCATTGGCCGACCCGACGGGTTCCCGCAACGGAAGGACGGACGTGCCACCCTTGCAGGTACTGCTTACCTAAACAGGTCATTTGTGGAGGCGGCCTCCCTTGGCTGCGTTAAGCGAACCAATGGGAAGATGTGCAGGTGCAGTGTACAGCCACTCTTGGCACTCACTAGCGCACCTCCCCGAGCTTGATTCGACTGTGACATTTGGATCGCGACTGCTCCCTTTCGAGTTTTTTCTTGGCGCGTTGACTTGCGCTTTTTCACCTTCTTTTTCCTCTGCTCCACCATCGCCAATTCTTTCCCTTTCACTTACCGCCATCATCACCAAAGCACGCGGGATACGCCCGGTCATGCTATTCGAACCGAATCGACACAAACGAGCACCTCGGAAACACACAGGCCATTCATTCATCCATGCCACGAACCTCTCTGTCATGGAAACAAACACTCGGATACATGACGCCCACAACGTCTAAACGGTAGACGGGCGTCATCCCGAGGAGGCTCTCTGTCACCCCTCCTGTCTCTTCTTATGCCACCACTTTCCGTCCATACTACCCTCCAACTCTATGGTCGCCGTTGCCGACCGACTCGTCTCCGTGCATCTCCGTACCTTGCTGTCGGATGTGGCACCGGTCGGCCGCTTTCCTCATCGAAGCAGATGTAGTCTCCTCCCGCAGCTTGGTTGCTCTTGTCAGCACGGAAGCCACGGGAAACGCGCGAAATACCAAAGGAACGAGCCTACTCCATCGAAGAGCGCCCTCGACTCCTTGGTCATCTTGGCAAGCGCCAGACGACTGGCGTTGGGGCACAATCTCTGAACCAACGCCGGGCCACCGATCGGGATGGAGAACAGACCTTATCCAACGGCTTCGTTCATACCCGCCGAATGGAACGCCGCCAAAGTCTTGGGGAATGCGAAAGAATGGGGCCGCCACCCCCAGGCGTCGGACGCCATGTCCGGCTACGGTCCTCGGTCTCGTCTACAAGTGTCTGGCCTGACTATCTCTCATCTCACCTATCTTCTCCGGAGAGAACGTGATAAGGACCCGGCACTTGCATCAACACAACCGCCAAGGGGGCCAAACATTTGACATTTGCACTCTCGGCCAAAGTTGCCAATGCGCTGTCAAATCTCCATTCCCCATCGAAATTTACCCCTTGTTTGTTTCCGACTCGCCATGAGCAATGGCGGTCCTAGGATGGCCCCGACTCGACCTCTTCTTTTCCACTGAACAGAGCTCGCTTCTCGCTGCTCCATATTAAATTCCCTCATCGGGACCTTTTGCACTTTTCCTTTGCACAGCCTCAATGCCCAGACCGCTGGCGGTTACCTCCCTTCTCGCCATGCCCAGCCAATCTCTTGCCAATGATTTCGGCCAAGCCCAGGATGTGAGAATAATTGACCGGCACGTCATTCTATCTCTCCGGATCTCCTCAAATGGCTTTCCCTCCTTCCCCTCTCGATCCCGTGGGAAGACTTTTTCCAACCCACTGCTGCTCCGCCAAGACCGCCAGATGCTGCTGTGATAATCGTGAAGCGCGACTTTTTCTCTCCTGCAACCTATCAGTCCCTCACTTGACCAATCCATTGCTTCCCTGTGGAGTCTCGGTTGACTTCATCTCCTCTTGATCTTGCCAAGAAAGGCAGTCGCTGAGAGCACTGCCACCCTCGATTGTTGGTCTTGGGATTCTAGGCGCCATCGCCAGCATATCTTAGACACTTCTGAAATCTCTTCCCCCTTCGTCAATCATCATCAACTCTGTGATCGAACAAAACCATGGTGGCCGCACAGACTTGAGGGCCAAATACCGTCGTCTGCAACTCCAGACCTTGTTAGTTTCGAAGTGGATTTTTTGCCGCCCAACCCCTCCGCTGCCTAGCACAGCCTTCTCATCTACGCCGTCGGACTCGGAGTAGGCTTACTTCGTGGTGCTCGACACGTCGGTGTCATCTTGACATTTCTGAACTCTCTTGAACGGGGCGAGGGCGCAGCTTGGCTCGCCAAGGCCTACGGGCAGTCTGTCTTTGCAAATTCGCGGTGCTCACCTGGTACGCCTCAGACTCTGCCACTTCTCGTTACCTTGAGTGCACGCAACACCGTCGCCTCCTACACAGCCTTGTTGCACAACGCATCTAAATACCAATCTTTGTGTCACCAAGAGGCCTCTGAGGCAGCCGCTACTCTGTTCTCTTGCCTAATCTGAACCCTCAACTACACCTTCTCACAACCACCTGAACCTCAACTTGGAGACCTTTCATTCATACCCGATCACTCATGAGAACATCTTGCATCAGCTTCAGAATACTCTGCACCGGTGCTAATGGCTTCTCTCGCACCTCCCCAGTTGCGCGTCGACACCCGCCATCCCCGCGGGGACAATGATCACGACGACGCGATAACACCATCACCCATCTCGACACACTCAAATCCGTTTCTCACGCCGGCAGTCAGCTCCGCGACAAGTATGCATTCCAGCACAACAACAGTCGTCCCGGAGGACCCGGATACCGCACTCCGGCCCGACCCCGGCACCGAAGGCGACTTTGTTGTCGACAACAACCCGTTTGCATTTAGCCCTGGGCACCTCAACAAACTTTTGAACCCAAAATCTTTACCTGCATTTTTGGCCCTCGGCGGACTCCGTGGCATCGAAAAGGGCCTTCAAACAGACGTCAAGGCCGGTTTATCGCAGGATGAGGCTGCCGCCCGTAGTAGGGTCAGCTTCCAGGAGGCAACCGGCCACAAGGAGCCATCCTTCGCCACTGCCAGTGCTCAGCCCACCACCACGCACCAAGCTGACGGCAATGGTTTCACCGACCGTATCCGCGTCTACGGCAGGAACGTCCTTCCCCCGAAGAAGGCTACACCGCTGTGGAAGCTGATGTGGAACGCTTATAATGACAAAGTAATTATTTTGCTGACCGTCGCCGCCGCGATTTCATTGGCGCTCGGTCTTTACGAAACATTTGGTGCGGTACACGATCCCAACGAAGGCCAACCGGTCGACTGGATTGAGGGCGTGGCCATCATCGTTGCGATTTTGATCGTGACCCTAGTCGGGTCTCTTAATGATTGGCAAAAGGAGCGCGCCTTTGTCAAGCTTAATGCTAAAAAGGAGGATCGCGAGATCAAGGTTATTCGATCCGGCAAGTCCTATATGATTAACGTTGCAGAGGTCCTCGTCGGCGATGTCATCCACCTAGAACCCGGCGATCTCGTCCCAGTGGACGGCATCTACATCAGCGGCCACGACCTGAAGTGCGACGAGTCCTCGGCTACCGGCGAGTCTGACGCGCTCAAGAAGACTGGCGGCGATGCGGTGTTCAACGCGATGCAGTCTGGCAACGCGCCCAAGGACCTGGACCCCTTCATCATCTCCGGCGCCAAGGTTCTCGAGGGTGTCGGAACCTTCGTCTGCACCTCTGTCGGTACCAACTCGAGCTTCGGAAAGATCATGATGTCGGTTCGTACCGAAACCGAGTCTACGCCTTTGCAGAAGAAGCTCGAGGGCCTTGCTCTGGCTATCGCCAAGCTCGGTAGCACCGCTGCTCTCTTCCTCTTCGTCGTCCTTCTGATCCGCTTCCTGGCCGGTCTGCCAAACGACAGCCGCCCCGGCGCTGAGAAGGCATCGTCGTTTATGGATATCTTGATCGTTGCTATCACGATTATCGTCGTGGCTGTTCCGGAGGGTCTACCCCTGGCTGTCACCCTTGCCTTGGCATTCGCGACCACCCGGCTTCTGAAGGAGAACAACCTGGTGCGTGTCCTGCGGGCTTGCGAGACCATGGGCAATGCGACCACGATCTGCTCCGACAAGACTGGTACCTTGACGACAAATAAGATGACGGTCGTCGCCGGCACTTTTGGCTCTGCCAGCTTCTCAAAGTCCTCTGACGGAGAGAAGGCTAGCTCAGCAGTCGCGTTCGCCCAGTCTCTCCCTACCGCCACCAAGAAGCTCATCGTCCAGTCTGTCGCAATCAACTCCACCGCCTTCGAGGGCGAGGAGGACGGCCAAGCCACCTTCATCGGCTCGAAGACTGAGACCGCCCTGCTTCAGTTTGCGAAAGACCACCTTGGTATGCAGGCTCTGGCTGAGACCCGCGCCAACGAGGAGATCGCCCAGATGATGCCATTCGACTCTAGCAAGAAGTGCATGGGCGCCGTCATCAAGCTGCCCGGTAACGAGGGCTACAGACTGGTTGTCAAGGGTGCTTCTGAGATTCTCTTGGGATACTGTAGCCAGAAGCTCGACGTTTCCGATCTTTCCATCTCGGCTCTAGAGCAAGCCGACCGTCAGTTCCTGGAGGCGACCATCGACTCTTACGCCAAGCAGTCTCTCCGCACCATCGCTCTGATCTACCAGGACTTCCCCCAATGGCCCCCTCACGGCGTCAACGCCACCTCCGAGGGCCATGTTGACCTCGGCGATGTCCTCCACGACCTTGTCTTCGTCGGTGTTGTTGGTATTCAGGATCCTGTCCGCCCTGGTGTTCCCGCGGCCGTGACTAAGGCGAAGCACGCCGGTGTCGTCGTCCGCATGGTCACTGGTGACAATGCCGTTACTGCTAGGGCTATTGCTACTGAGTGTGGCATCTTCACCGAGGGTGGTCTTATTATGGAAGGCCCGGTCTTTCGGACTCTGTCTCCCGAGGCTATGGATGAGGCTCTGCCCCGTCTGCAGGTCCTTGCTCGCTCCTCGCCCGAAGACAAGCGCATCCTGGTCACCCGCCTCAAGGCTCTGGGCGAAACCGTCGCTGTGACTGGCGATGGTACCAACGATGCACCGGCGCTGAAGGCTGCGGACGTGGGCTTCTCGATGGGTATCTCTGGTACTGAGGTTGCTAAGGAGGCCTCGGCTATTGTGCTGATGGACGATAACTTCACTTCCATCGTCACGGCCCTCAAGTGGGGTCGCGCGGTGAACGACGCCGTCCAGAAGTTCCTTCAGGTATGTCGCTTTCCCCTCTCATCACCTTGACTTACTAACATGTCTCTTTAGTTCCAAATCACGGTCAACATCACCGCCGTCCTCCTCGCCTTCATCACAGCCGTCTCCTCCCCGAACATGGAATCCGTCCTCACCGCGGTCCAACTCCTCTGGGTCAACCTCATCATGGACACCTTCGCCGCCCTCGCCCTCGCCACGGACCCTCCCACCGAAAAGATCCTCGACCGCCTCCCGCAGGGCAAGAAGGCGCCCCTCATCACCATCAACATGTGGAAGATGATCATCGGCCAGGCCATCTTCCAGCTCACCGCCACCCTGATCCTGCACTTCGCCGGCAACGCCATCTTCGGCTACGACGCCGCCAACGAGGACCAGCAGCTCGAGCTCGACTCCATGATCTTCAACACCTTCGTGTGGATGCAAATCTTCAACGAGTTCAACAACAGACGCCTCGACAACAGGTTCAACATCTTCGAGGGCGTGCACCGCAACTACTTCTTCATCGTCATCAACTGCATCATGGTCGGCGCCCAGGTCGCGATTATCTACGTCGGCGGCAAGGCCTTCCGCATCACCCCCGGCGGTATCAGCGCCGAGCACTGGGGCGTGTCCGTTGTCATCGCGTTCCTCTCGCTCCCCATGGCCGTCCTCATCCGTCTCTTCCCGGATCCCTGGTTCGAGAAGATTGCCAAGACCGTCGGACGCCCCGTGGTCATTGTCTACCGCGCCCTGGCCAGAGTGTTCTCCCGTATGGGATCCGTCTTCCGTCGCAAGAAGACTGTCGATGCTGAGTCTTCATCCACCGAGGACAACGGCGTCGTCTCCGGCGACGAGTCCAAGGCCATCGCGGCACCTGAGATCATCATCTCCACGCAACCCGAAGACACCCCCAACACCCGCGACGTCGAGAAGGGCCGCTAATCCCGCCTCGGTCTTCCTACTTCTCCACCACTACTCCTGCATGCACCCGTTTTTGCTTTCGGCACGATTCCCCCTTCATGTTACATCTCTTTAGTTACGATACCTATTTTCTTACGTGTGTATACTTTTTTCATTGGTGCGACGACTGAACGACCGGCACTTTTATATATATGGGCGGCGGGCGGTTTCTAAACCAAAAACCAACTATTTTTGTTTTTGGCAGCGGCGTTTCTTACAAGTGCGGTTCGGATACGACTCCAGTGTGGATTCATTTGGGTCACGGCACCTGGACGAAAAACTGTCATTACGGCATTAGAGAGCGACAACATATATCAGCTTGCATTTTCAGGATACGGCTTTCATAGATAGGACACGATATGTGTGTCACGTGCGATACGAATTCATCATGAGCGAAATACAATACTTATGAATCTATTTCTATCAAGCTTCCTTTCATGAATCGTGATCATACGCTACACCTCATGAAGAGCTGCACGGGATATCCGTGGGCGAGTCCGTAGTCGACACAGTGAGGTTATACACACTCAAGCTCTCTGAATGCGGCTCCAACCGCGGCGTCCCCTCCGCATCCTTCAAAATCGTAAAGCTCGCGTTGCCACTATTCCCTCGTCAGCCCTCCCTCTCCATCATCACAGCATGAAGACTCAAACTTACTACGCCTGCGAGCAGTTCCCCCCAACATACGTCGTCTGAATCACAATCTCCGCCACAAACGTCTTGCTCTCCGCCGTCTCGCCGGCCACGCTCGCCCCGCGGATCAGGTGCCACCACGACTTGTCCCCCGCCGGCGGCAGCAGGCTCTGCTTGACGCCCAGCATGGCCGCGTACCCGGAGAAGGTGCGCCCTGCGATGATCAGCTGGCCCGTGGCGGGCCAGAAGTCCGTGAAGGTCGTGGTCGCGGCTTTGTCTTCGGAGGCGAGGTAGTACGCCTCGACGAAGGGGGCGAAGGCGGCGTCGACGTTGGCGGCGGGCTTGTAGGGGGCCATGTCGACGGCGGCAGCGAGGGGGAGGAGGGGGAGGAGGGTTGAGGGCTTCATTGCGGCGGTAGATACTGGAGATCAGGTCCCGGGTTGAAAGAACGATGGATCGAGGTGAGGTTCTCGCAAAAATGACGACATCTTCAACGGGGGTTAAAAAGCGATTTATGAAATGCCATCGTCCGCCTTACGAGGCCAAGCACACCCCTTTCACAGGGCACATCCGTCCCGATCGATCAATCTTGCTCAGAACCGTCCATCGGCGCCCCCGTCTATCCGGACGGCCCGGGGCAGCAAGGAGAAAATAGGGGTCACGGCGACCTCGGCGGTTGACTTCGGGACGATGGGCCCTGTAAACCTTCGTCCCATGTCCGACAAGGGCCACCCCGGCGCGCGTGACAGCAGGTTTGCGAGGATATATCTGGGGCGCGTTCGTGCGGCCCGGCGAACGGAGAGAAAGGTAAGAATGTGGTCTGGGCTGTTGTTTATTTGACTTTTTTAGGTTATGGGGTTGTGGTGTCGCTTTCACCCGAAAAAAGGGGCGGTCGGCGGGTGGATGAGTTTATGGGGGATGTTCGCTCTCGGTAGTCGGCGAGGAGGCGTTGTGCGTGTCCTTTATTAGATGCTGGGTATGTGAGGCTCGGTGTTTAGTTACTCTGAAACTTTACAAGTGCGGCGATTGCGGGTTGATTAGTTGACGTTTCTTCTGAGGTTTTTGGATATAAAGATCCCACCGGCTTCGGTTCTCAACTCAACTTCGCTCCGTAACAATACAGCCTCAACACAGTCGTTGAAAGTTGCAATCTCACCTACGCTCGTTTCCCGATCATATAAATCTCTCAATATGTATCTGAACATTGCTCTTCCCGCCCTCCTTGCCGCGCGCTTCGTCGCGGCGATCGACTTCACCGACTACGACCCGCAGCCCGGCGTCCAGCCCGAGTTCAAGGACTTCCTCAACGCGTGAGCACGACGCAATTCCTCAAACATCCTGAATGCCCTCTAACAAAACGACATAGTCTCGTCACCCCGGCAGAGGACCCCACCGCCACCACAGCCTACACGGACTTCTTCACGGCGGACGGCATGCAGACCACGCTGAGCATCCACTGTGTCGGCGCCGACGCCATCACAAAGTGCAAGCAGCGCTTCCTGCCCACCGACGGCAGCATGTCGCTGACGCACTTCCCCAACACGACCTTCATCGCGGACAACAACGCGACCGCGACGGTGTACGAGGCGCACGGGCGCATCGAGAATAACTTCAAGGCGGGCAACTGCTCGCAGATCTAGTAAGTCCACCCAAGAAGAGAATTGTAAGGGAGACGAGATTTGGCTGACGCTTTTGGTGCAGCTACAAGACGCAGTACACTGTGCTCAAGACTGTCCAGTCTGTTGACGCGGCGCCGAATTTGGCGACGACGCCTGAGCATCAGGTGTACTGGTACCATGACTACTTCGTCAACCCGACGGGCGTGCCGTCGGATATTCCTTGCGATAGCCAGAAAGCGTAGAGTTAGAGAAAATGAGACTGAGAAGGTATATTGCTATGTAGATCATGTTGAATGACCGTTGATGTACGCATTGTGACCATGTCCATCGGCCAACTGCGGTCGTATGCTCAGCTTGCCTGTCCAATCCTACCAATCGAGATCAAGAGCTACTCCTGCCCATCCTTCATTTATATATCACTCTGTCAGCGGCAAATCTAGCTTTATCCGCCTGGTAACTAGCCCGTAGCCATGCGTCGTTTGCATCACCAAGCGCCTGTCTTGCGGCATCAAGCCCTCGCTTAGCCAGTCCCACCTCCTTCTCAGGGCCAGCGTCGTCGGCAGCTTTACGGGCCTTTTTGGCAGCCGATGCTGCATCTTCTGCAGCGCTCTTTGCCAGGTCAGCCGCCTCTCGCGCACCACTCACTGACTTGGTCTCTGGGGAGCCATTGGAATTATGGGAAGCCCGCTTGGCATCCGCTGCCGCCCTGCAAGCGCATGCGCTAGAACGATCTGCCGCTTCCTGGGCCGAATCTGCGGCGATTGTGGCCTCGGACGCCAGGTACCGGGCGCGCATGGCTTCGTTCCGGGTCTGCAAGCAGACTTTCAGCCATTTTGTAGGCTTCGCAGAATCCCACACAGCGGACGGCATCTGAACCACTGTCTCCTTGTAGAGACAGTCTTTGGCGGGGCTGGAACTGCAGAGAACAGCTCTAAGCATCCCGCCCCCTCGACCAGATAGAAGCGCAACGGAAGGCGGCCGCTCTGCAGCCACCACCATGACGGATAGATGACCCAGATCGACAAGTGTGAAGAGTCTTTGCTCTCTTTTGAGCCGAGCTTTGACTCCATCCAGATCCTCTGTTTGCTCGATCCACGCGGGTCTGCCTTTCTCCAGGGTTCTGGTCTCGCTGTCCAAACTGTCCTCATCTGCAAGAATGTGCGACGCGAGCGGGGCGTACTTGAATATATCGGCAGACGACTTGTATCCAAGGATCTTCTCTTCCAGCTCTTTGATGGGCATGACACCCTCGATTCCAACCAGACCAGGGTTGCACTTTTGGACTTTGAAAGTGCCGAACATGCTTCGTGCGGCCGCGGGTATCAATAAGGCGCAAGCGCATCCAATGCAAGCAGCGATTGCCACTATTTTGCTCAACATACGGATTGCAAAATCTGAAGGACGATCGTCTCCAGATAGAGAGCTTGTTCTGCCGGAGTTGCCAGAGCTGCCAGAGTTTACGCCGGCAACAGCAGCCATGGTAATGCTCATGCCAATGACGGTCGACATGGAGCTCATGGCAGCCGTGCGCAGAAATCTCACGAATCCGGTCTCGGCCGCTGGGTGATTCTCGACGCGCAAGGCAGGGAGGGAATCCCATTGTATCTTGATGGCTCGGCAGTTGTCAATGAAGACCGTGTGGTCCTCGTCCGCCACGCCCACGACGTCGCACAGGGGCGTGATTTGGTGGACGCGTGCGCCGAAGACATCCTTTCCGCAAAGACTAGCCCAGATGATGTGGTTTGACGCATCTGATAGAACGGGACCTTTAGGCCTCGATAATGGAAGCAGGCTTATCATACGGTCGATGATTTTGTCGCTGTCATTCTTGAGAGAGAGGTGGGACAGAGTCTGGAACAGCGTGGGACTGTCCGTGCTGTCCGGCGTCCTCCCGACGCGAAAACGGAGCAGACCCATTGCGGCGTAGCCCATGTCCGAAAGCGAGTTCTGGTTCCCGGTGTTGCGGGAGTTGAGGGCGTCGAAGATGAGTGGGAGAACCTCTAGAGTGCTGAGCACGACTTGGCCGGAAAAGTATTCGGCCAACAGCCGCGCCGAGCTGCCGCCCTCATGAGTTGCCTGCTTATCGCTCTCGCTCCAGTAGCTTGCTGTCATCTCTACCTTGTAAAGCGATTCCACCGGTGGTCCGTCGGGAAAGGCTTCCCTGTCGTAGTCTCGTGGACAGAACAAGATCGAGTTGCCGGGAGCCAAGAGTCCTTCAACAAATGTCCACATCCGCTTGCCCCACTCTGTCTTGGACTTTGAGGAGGAAGAATCCCCTAGGTAGATAACGGCCACTTGAGCCGAGCCACGGACGACGTCGCATAGAGTCCAAATCTGGTGGTCGGTAATTGCGATTCCCTCATTCTCAGAGAGGGTGCCACTCTTCACCTTTTGCTTGATGTGCCGGGTAAAACACCAATCGTCCAGGTAAATTGCCGTAAGTCCTTCTTTCTCTGCGAGTCGTTGGGCGGTGTCGAGGTACTGAAGCTCATCCTGTTTTGTTTTCGACCCAACATGGCTGACGAACAGGTACTTTGGTCGTTTGTTAACAGTGTTCATGTCCGTTGGTGTCCATTTTCCGTCTTCCCCCTTGAGCAGGAGCTTCGATGGATACGTCCGACGTGCTAGCACATCGAGATGTGACAAGCCATCGTCCCCAACAGGCCCGGAATCCCCTCTCCCAGCGTCGGGGTCATTAACGTTGTACTTTCCGTTGAACTCGAGGTAGGGGTCGTAAATGTCTTTTGGGTCCCACGCTGCCCAACATAGCGAGTTGGGGACGAAGTTGAAAAATAGCAGAGGGATTGCAGTCAATAAGCTCCTCAGGGCGGCTAAGATTGGAGCCAAGATAATCTTTCGGGGATTATCCATTGGTGCCATGGCCCATTGCACGACGGAGCGCGTCATCATGTCATGGCGCACAAGCGTCTTCCTCATCCAGTCAGGGGCTGCTGCGGCATTCTCTATGTATCGATCCGTCACCTGAACTGACATTCTCGCGCGTGATCGAGTAATGAGAGGTGTACCTCTCCCGGCCGGATCATTCTGGACAGTCCTTTGCGGATTCAAATTCTCGTTATTGACGATGGTGGTAATGCTGGGACTGCTCTCGCTGGCGACACGGGATGGTTGAGGATTCGCGGTCTTCTCCCCGTTCTCGGCGAGCTGAGAATGAGCGTTATGCTCATTCCGATCTGGGTCCTGAACCAGCGTCTCATTGCTCGCCATTGAGACTTGTCAGTTAAGAGTGTCCTGGGGTGAAAGTGGCGATGCGAGTAAAAACATATAAACACACTAAATCAACCGAAAGATTCTGATGTCTAATTGTATGGTGAAATAAGTGCGTTGGCAGGTGAACTGGAAACGTCTTGTAGAATATGCGTGTGATACAGTACTCTTATATCTTCGAGTCTTGCGTCTTGCCTCCATGGCAAAATCATCAAATTACTCTCATGGGAAAAGGAGGCTATGGTGTTCGAAATGGAAATAGACATTTGCACGCCCAGAGATATCCAGCCCATTGCTATACTTCATCTATGTAACGATTTCCAGCAAGAGGTGTCTTGCAGCGATATTCGCTCCTCGAGTTGTTTCTGATTTACAAAAGAATGCAATATGACGGAGGGATGTAGGGCGGATGATTGCAGCACACCATTTCTGCCTGGAAATCTCCAGGTCAGCACCAAAATTTGGCCTCTCCTCACCAATGGCTTCGTGACCCCACCCACCATGAGCAAAAGCACAATGCATACAATGTCTTAGAGTCAAAAACGATTGGCAGCCCTACTACGCCCAAGGATGCGTGGGGGCCAATCTATGCAGGGAGTATCGTACCGTAAAGCTAAGGCATATGATTCGTTGGCATCGCCCCCAACGCTCGGGATCCTTTGCTTCATCTCGGGACCGAAAACATCGCGGCATTGGAATGGACGTGTGTCTAGCCCCACGAGAGATTCAGATCCGTGGATCAAACGCTGTCTTGGAGAGCTCTAAGAGTAGAAGGATCTGCTCCTGCGCCACCTTCTACCCTGTCGACAGCTGAGTCGCTGTGGCGTTTGTGACGCCGCAGACATGAATGCTCTGGTGGCAGGGCATTCCCAGCGAAGCAGCTAGGCGGTTCAAATCAGAAGCTAAGCGGTTGCTATTCTAGTTCCCGAGCGATGACGTATCTTGGCATCAAACCTCCAGGCAGACTTGTTCACAGAGACGTGTGGCGCCAAGGTGGCTGGCCCAATCCACCACCCTGCCTTGTAAAGATATCTGCTTCCCAGCAAATCTGTCTTCACCTTTGAGCCACTACACACCTCTCCATAGGAGTATGTTACTTGTTGACCAGCCGAAAGCTACCGTCACTCGATACCTACGCAACATCCAGCTAGGGGTGCCGCGAAACCGTTTCCTGCCCTGATCGCCATGCGGCCTGTTGCCAACAACAAACAAGATGGCGTTATTGAGAACAACTCCTGGCCGACGTCGAATGACTGGGAACGTTACAAACAGACGATAATCAATCTTTATAAGAGCAGCCAGATGAAAATTTTGATTACAGAAATGAAAGCCAGGCACAACTTCAAAGCAACGTACGTGTCTGCATCTTGCACACAAGAAAGAAGCCATTTACGCAACGGCCCTAGCTGACAATAACGACTCATTACAGGAAGCGGATGTACGAAACTCGTTTGTGGAAATGGGGCGTCGTGAAGAATATGAGAAAGGTCGACAAAATGAAAGTTATCAAATCTATTCAAAAGAGCTCGACAAGCGTTGGCGAGATCAGCGCGGGGGATTGGTCGAAAGTTGTGAGATGCCACAAAACTGAAATGAAAGAGTGCGAAGCCATACTTCGAGAGAACATGGCATCATTCAGTTCAACAGAACAACCCCAAGAGACCACTCAAGCCATGACTGCTTTTGCGGGAAAAGCCCCGGGGTCCAGCTTGCAGCCTCACATCCCAACGACCATCATTCTTCAGAGTCAAGCTTCGAGCGCAATTCTTCAGAGCGTTCGGCAGTGTTGCAGTGAGCAGTTGAAGAATAGTTCAGCACTTGACATATTTGAGCCTTGGACGGCCAGTATACCCGGGCACCCTAGACGCTACTGGGAAAATATCAAGCACGCCATCTACATCATCAAGTCGCAATCCGCAAGCATTTGCGGCATTGGGTTATGGGAGAGCGCAGACGAGATGGTGCTCCACGGGATCTCATACGACTCATTCGACTTTGTTTGGGAACTGTTCGCGGTGCTGTCTCCTGCCAACACGACGGCATGCCCGGAACTTCGCCAAGCATCATTGAGATATCTGAGAGCTCTTACAGCTACGAAATTGCATCCTACACACCCAGTCACCAAGATATGCGGCTTACTATTACACAACAGCCATGATATTGAACTATCCGAGATCGCCCTACTCGAGGCGTGGAACATATTTGGCTCACGCTTGGGATACGAACACCAGACAGCATGTCGTCTCCAACGAATGCTGGTCAGCACAGCTAGGCGACTTGGTAATTTAACGGAGGCAGAGCGCCGGGCTAGGGCACTTTACAACCATGCATGTATATCGCGGATGGATTCATATCTGTCGCGATCGTGCGCCCGAAGCCTCTCGCACGTTCTTATTAGCTCGTATCAATACGACAAGGCCAGAGAAGTCTGCAAGTCAATAGTTGACTCTTTGCAGTCTCCGGCGGGTCCAGAAATGGGCGATGAGCGCTCTGTTCAGGCCATGGAGGATTTGGCCGATATTGAACTGAGGCTTGGCAACATCGGGCAAAGTCTATGGTATCTTCAGCGAGCAAGCGATGCTGGACACAGGCTATGGCCAGGCTCCGTTGCATCGGCGCAAATGGAGGAGAAATTGGGATGGGACATATACGCACCCAAGATTCCGGTTGTGTGTTGACTTGAGCCGGTAGACGGGCTTGGCAGCGACGATTGGGGTGATAGCTAGATACAAGCAGTCAAGGCAGTGGCATAGGAAACTTGTCTCTTTGATTGGAGAAGACTTCTCGATGATGGATGGTAGTGGACACATGATGGTCCCAGTTCATTGCAGGGCTGTTGCCTTCACCGCAAACTCATGAAAGCTGGAGTGGGTCGTGTTTGCTAGACGTCCAACACGACGTATCCATGCCGGGCGAGCTGGTCTTTTATCCGCTCGCCGGGGTGTCGCACATTCAAGACGGCAATGTTGACGCGATCGACCATCAATCAGGCGCACCAAGCCAAAAGTCTTGGTCCATACCGCTACCAATTTGACAGCCAACATTGCCGATAGTAGCCAACTTGTTTGTGCAGCCAGCAAACCCCGTCATACCCAACCGTTGAGAGGCAAACATCATGCGCACTTATTTCTTCATTGTTCCCAAAGCCCTCAAAAATTGGAAATGAGCACCAATGGCGACGCCGCCCATATCAAGAGGCTCGTTGTGGAACTGAATGAAGCTAGCCATTGGCTTTCGGGCCTTGAATTGGTTCCATCAACGGGCGTCGACATGAAGGATGCGAACTCATAGCATTTACCAGCAACGTTGCCATGGAATTCCGGGTAACCGGGCGAATAATGGCGTCCGAGCTTGAAGATAACGCGCTATTCGGCTGCTTATTGACACCGAGACTATTGAGAAAACTCAACGAGCCTGATAGAATTCGTGTTCCTGCATACGACCCTTGACGAACACGGCTAATCCAAGATATAAAGCCTGCGCTCCCGAATTCAGAGATCGCTCTTGCCTAGATTACATCTGAACAAAACAGCCTTCTCTCCTTTCCTTGTCAAACTGTTTTGTCAAAGACATCTGTCCGCAAAATGCTCATTCTTGAGGCATGTGCAAATGACCAGACTAACCGGCCGCCTCGGTCGCATATGGTCGGACGTCCCCACCCTCATGAACTCAGCGTGACGATGCTTGTCAACAACTACTTCCTTCAAAATTGGCCCTTTCCCGACGAACGTTCCCGGCTCAAATTTGTAGCCGAAGGCTTGCCGACATGGCACTGTTGCCAATATCCTACCTCTCTGAATGACCGTGTGGTTGTCGCGTCTCGATTTACGGTGATGCTATTTCTGGTTGACGGTAAGCCTGTGTAACGCTCGAGAGGGAACTATTCCCAACATTGAACCATCATTCTGATGACAACCTCCAGACCTGCTTGAGCATATGTCGCTGCAAGACGGCTCATCATACAACGAGCGACTCATTTCCATCGTCAGAGGAGAAGTCTTGCCTGCAGAGGACTCTCCCATCGAGAAGATGGTTCTCGAAATTTGGCAACAGATGAGGGCCATTGACAAGACCCTTTCAGATGACGTTGAAGCGCCCACCTTTGAGTTTTGGCGCTCTCAGAATGCCGAAGCTCGGCTAGCGAAGAAGAGCATTGCAGAGTACCTGGAGTACCGAGAGCTTGACGTTGCTTCGCAGTGAGTCCTATTGCATGGTACTTTGCGATGGTTAATACACAGCTAATGATCTTCAAAGGCTCCTTCTGGCTCTGCAACGCTTCTCACAGGGCATCAACGTCACGAAGGAAGAACTAGCCTCCGTGTCTGAAATCGAGCTGAACTACACGCACCACATCTCCGTCATCAACGACATTTTGAGTTGGGACAAGGAATACCGTGCGTCCAAAGACATCAACGCCGAAGGATCCATCGTGTCCAACATCGTGCAGGTTTTGGCCAACGAAACCGGCTTGGACTACGATGGGTCGAAACGAGTTTTGTGGACCATGTGTCGTGAATGGGAACGAAACCATGCGGACCTTGTTGCCAAGAGGCTGGAAGAAGGATGTTCTGGTTCTTTGAAGGAGTATTTGGAGGGAATCGAGTTGCAGATGTGTGGTAACGAGCTGTGGAGTCGGACTACTTTCCGGTACAATGCCCCCAACTTGAAGTAGGCTCGAAGAAGGCACGACATTCATCCGAAGTGGGATATTTGATATGTCATACATGTTTCCAAGGTTGCTTCATAGTGCTCTTGTGGGATCAAGAGGACCATCGGCAACGGCGGATCCACGAACCAGAGACGCAGATACAAGTCTAGTCAGGTACACTCATTTGATGCCGCTCATTCAAAACCCCTCCCCCCTTGATGAGGTCTACTGTGCCAGTTATTTTTTCCTTTTTCCTGAAGCTTATCCGAGAAAGTTCAGGTCTTTAGCTGCATAGTCTACAAGCATTGAGTGTCGCCAAGAAAGCGCCAAGGTTGTACCGCAGGTCCATCGG